ATACACTGACTAATAAATAAAGGAAGTCAAACATAGATTTCATTAAATAGAAGTAAACGAAACAGAATCATTAAAATATGGTATTTTGGGCTGCATCCGATCATTTAGCAACATGAGCTGGACTTGACAAATGCTTTCCTTTTAAGAACTTTAAATCACAGTGAAAAAGCTTTTGTTTTCCTTTACTGGACAGATGAGCACAGCGGCATTCTCAGAAAGAAAGAAAATGGCGCTCTAAATTTAAATAAGGCACATGGCCCCCACTTTACCACAGCTAATAATAATCTTGTTGAGTCACACACAAATAATGTCAGACAGTAGCAAGCTGTTCGGCGAGTCCTCCAAAATTCTTCCCAGATGCTTTGTTCATTAAGCACAAGATACCTTAAGTACTGGAAATATGCAGCACTGTAAATAATACCAAGTTGCTATGTCTAGGGTGACAGATGTTTGGTTTATATTTGGGTGTTTGTCTGCCACTCACAGGCAAATAATTCTGGAAATGGAATTAGTCAGAAATTGAATTAGTGGAGTGGGTTCGGGTTCTTTTTTCCAGTAGTGCTACTAAGGGCCAAACTGTTTTTGAAGCACGAGATCTGAGTTCAGGTTCAAACAAGGGTGTTGTTGTTTTCAGTTACTAGCAAATATCTTCTCCAAACCAGGCATGCAGCGGTCAGTGAAAATAACTTGTATTTTCTTTGTTATTAAGAGACATCAGAAACAATATGGCGGACGTTCTGCTCAAGTGAGGAACAAATGCTTTGCAGGGGGTTGGACAAGATGACCCCCCGGGGTCCCTTCCAACTCTACAATTCTAAGAAATGAAAGTAAGGGTTTGGCAACAGTAGGTCACCCACTGAAACCACATGTCAGCAGCAGGTGGGGCAGAGGCAAAAATGGCTAGAGGCATGAATGTGCATTTTAACTTTGTATTGTAAGCTAGCAGAGACCATGTAACACCGATCCTGAAATATTTTCATTGGCTTCCAGTACGTTTCCAAGCGCAATTCAAAGTGTTTGGTGCTGACCTTTAAAGCCCTAAACCAGGCATAGGCAAACTCAGCCCTTTAGATGTTTTGGGACTACAACTCCCATCATCCCTAGCTAGCAGGACCAGTGGTCAGGGATGGTGGGAATTGTAGTCCCAAAAACATCTGGAGGGCCAAGTTTGCCTATGCCTGCCCTAAACGGCCTCGGCCCAGTGTACCTGAAGGAGCGTCTCTAATCCCATCGTTCAGCCTGGACACTGAGGTCCACCTCTGCGAGAAGTGAGGTTACAGGGAACCAGGCAGAGGGCCTTCTCGGTGGTGGTGCCTGCTCTGTGGAACGCCCTCCCAGCAGATGTCAAGGAAATAAACAACTATCTTTCAGAAGGCATCTGAAGGCAGCCCTGTTTAGGGACGTTTTTAATGTTATCAAACATCGGGAGATGCCCAGAGTGGCTGGGGAAACCCAGCCAGATGGCCGGGGTATGAATATAAATTATTATTATTACACACACACACACACACACCCCTCTGTGCACCATCCAGGGGTGCATTTTAAGAATTCAACAACACATTCCAGACAGGAAAAAGAACTCAGTGGTATGTCTAAGGAGAGTCTCGAGGGCCTGCTAGAGAGGCTTAGAGGGCCACATTTGGACCATGAGCCTGAGCTTCCCTACTCTTGATAGAGCGAGCCAGCGATCCAAAGCTCCAAAGCAAACCTCCCACTAGCTAGTTTCCTTCGGCCTTTGCCAACTGTAGGAGAGCCTTGCTTTGGGATCCTTTGTTCCCTTCACTGGATTGTCCCGGCTAAAATATAATACAGCAGTAAGCAAGTGCAATAAACACCAATCCATTTCTGGCATCTGCTTTCGGGTTACGAAACCATTTGGACCGCACTTAAAAGATGCTTCCTCTTAAAACATTTCATGCAGCAATAAAACAAAACCGGTATGTAAGCGCTTCAAATATTTATTTCCATGGCAAAAATAGACTATGATATAATTCATTTCACATATATTACATATCAAAGAAAAACAAGCCTTTCTGTCTATCAAATACAATTTGTACATTGTTTTACAAACCCCATTTCAATTGTACAAGGTTTAAAGCTGAAGAAATTTTACATTTTTTACAGTACTGATTGAGAGAGACACAAAGCAGAGCAAACTTAAAAAAAACCAAAAAAAAAACACCTTCAGCTTGATGCTAGAAAAATAATACTTGAGTAGGAGACATGTGCTACTGTTAAAGGAAAGAAATTTATAAATCCCTGTATACTGGCACAAAAAACCGACGTGGAAACAAAGCCCAAAATCCAGCATCTTTCACTCACATACAATTAAATCTGAGCACCCAATTAAGGCCAATGAGATGTTGAAGTCTCCAAATCTCAGGAAACCTTGCAAGGTCAACCCTGCTCCCCGACAAGCTTCTAGCCCTAGACAGATTCACACATTTCCAGAATGGCATGGGAACTGCTTCTTTGTGGTCCACTATGGTGGAATAGTGCAGATCAGGAGTGCCTTTAATGATGCTGGTAGACTGAAACTCCCATCATCCTTGACCAACGGCCATGTTAGCTGGAAATGATGCGAGTTGAGGGTCCAGCAACATGGAAGGATCATGCACAAGACATGGTTCCTTCCCACCGCAAGCACAATACTGGTGTGAGAACAAACAACATCATTTGTCTTACCCATGTAGCCCCTACAGAGAAACATGACAGGAGCAGCTGAGAATTGGATATCTTTTTGGGGTGGGGGTGGGGAGGGCAATTCCACACTATAGTAGGAGCAAATGAACACAGACTCACATCCTACCTAGATTAAGCCAGCAGCAAAGTTAAGTTTTGGGTCTAAGAGCCGTCCAAGAAAAGGAACCTCACATACCTGTTTTGACAAAAGTTATCTTACCTTTAGTAAGAAAATGGGTTAGATCACCTGACTGGTCATTTTCCTTCCAGAATCATCCTTAAGGTTCCGTTTAGATCAGTGGCGTAGCGTGGGGGGTGCAGGGGGGGCCGGCCGCACCGGGCGCAACATCTGGGGGGGGGGCGTACTCGCACTAGCAGCTCTCTGCCCCTACCTAGCTCACTCACTCTCTCTCACTGCAATGCTGGCTGTGCGAATCCGATCCGAGACACCGGGTCGCCGCCCACTGTGGAGGGGGGGGTGCTGACTGGGGGGCAGCTGGAGGGGGGTGCTGCCCCGGGTGCTGACAACCCACGCTACGCCACTGGTTTAGATTGTTTCAAACACCCTCGATGCATATTGGGACATTCCAGTGAAATAAGATGGCATGCAACTTCCCTTTATTCATTTGGGAAGATTTTCTTTTCAAGCCGTTTCAGGAGGGAGTTTAGCGTGACTAAAGCAGCTGCAGATCTCTATCTCTCTCTCACACACACCAGTTTTCTATTTCTTGCTTAATCTGTAGTAACTGGGTCAAACACTACCTCATTTAGCACCACAGGTCTTTTGGGGGGTGGGAAATTGTGGCACATTCTTCACTTCACAAGACAGCATCATGTTAACGTACGTTTTGGCTACACATACCAAAACAAGCAAACAAACAAACCACTTCGATTCAGGTTCACTGATTTAGCATTTTTGAGATACGAAATGCAGCTTCAAGGAAATCAGAATAACCGAAAAGGCCAGTTCAGGATAAGTGGGGAAGAAACACACACACCCCTTCTCCATTCACAGCAAGAATGCTCTTTGCTCTTGCCAGAGTTCTAAAACATTCGCCATTACAGCTTGCATTTCTGCCCATCCCAAAACATTTGACTGTACAGAGACAGAGGAAAACCAAGGAAACTGCAGTAAAAGACCCACTTGGAGAACTCCCTTTCCCATCCCAAAGTCTTGTACATTTTCAAACTCCCCACCCCTACCTTGCACCTCCTATTTTTTCCATCCCAAACCATTTTGTTTCCTCAGTTTTCAAAAGCAACTTGCCACGCAATCTAAGCAATGGTTTGCAGGACAACGGGCTTGCTGCAGGGAGAGACTTGAGCCTCCATTGGTAAGAGTTCTGTGATTCTCTGTGTTGTGCTTAGCGCAGACAGTGCAATATTGCACCATAAGGTGTTTCTGAACTGCACATATCAGAGGGCATGCTTAGTTACGAGGAAGCCAAAGCAGGGCCCTCCCTTCCTCCTTGTGCTGTGCAAGTAAGGCAACCAGATGAACAGAGTCTCAGTCCCATTATACAGAAACTATTGCGCCAAACTACATCTCCAGGGAACATCCGACACAACCAAGAGAGGAAACTCAATCAGAAAATTTAAAGCAAAATATTAAAATATTTATAGTGAGATTGACTATTGGCTCTCCAGATGGTGCTGGACTACAGTTCCCAACAGTACAAGCTGTCTGGCCAATGGGCAGAGACTTTGGGAGTTGTAGTTCAACATCTGGAGAGCCCTTTGGTTATCCAGCCCTGCTCTATGGTCTCTTGACTTCACGTAAGAAGACAGCCCTTCTGACTGCCTATATTGTGCATTCAGAAGAGTTCCAAATCCCTCTGTGCTGTTTTCCCTGCCTAAACTCATCCCACCTTTCAATGTTGACATATGGGACCCAGCTTGAGGGAAAGTTTTCTGGAAAAAAATGCTACATTTCCGGAATCTATGAATAAAACGCTGAGTCAAGGAATTCAGCCCAAACGCCACAAACTCAAAACTTGCAGAAACTGCTGTTGGTGGTCAACAGCTAAAGGCTAGCAGCAAAATTAGCTCATCCATACTGACTTCAGACAGAGAAATGACCAACATAACTGAGTCTACACAATGTAAATTAGCAGTGATATCGAAAGCAGCCAAAGTTTTCGGCCCAATGCTCTTGGGCCAGCTCTAAAATATGACGCGAGACCTAATGAGATTCTTCAAGGTATGCCATAAACCTCTTTGGACAGTAGTTTAACCTCATCTTACTGGGGGCTGTACACAGCAAGGACAGGCGCGGTCAAAATTCAAAAGAAGAAAAATAATACCTAGAGGCATGTACCTCACACATGGATCAATTTAATTCCTGACTAAAGAGCTCACCACAATCCCAAAAGCACAGCCAGAGGTGCTTTGAAAACAGCTTATTTACTAAATAAAATAAGTTTACGGTGTAAATGCCTGTAGAGAGAATGTGCACCTCTCCATTTTAAGCAATTATGGGAAACCTGTTACTTTTGTATGCCTTCCATAGCCATCCAGTTAGAACATTTGCCATTTCTGGTTCTGCAAGTGATTGCAGACCCATCAAAATGCATACTCCTTCCTTCCTATCTCCTTTCAAACTCACTGAAGGGATGTGACCCAGGAAAGGAAAGGAAACAGGCTGCCATAGCACAGACTATGAACCTAAGGTACTTTTTGATTTCCTTGACAGGGGGACATAAAACCAGAAGGGTTAATACTGCAGCCTCTCTGCTGAAGCATGTAAACCAGTAACCCACTCTCACATACATGTTCCTCTCACCCACTGATTCCATCTTTAAAAACTTTTTCTAAAACAAAAAGTAAAAACGACTTAGTAATGGGCATGTTAACCACTTAAAACATACTAGTATGTTTCCCTAGATAAATAAGAGCCAAGAGAGTGCTTCAATTTCACCGGCATCCACCTTGATTTCAACCAGTAGTAGCAACCAGTTTTCAATACATATATTTTTAAAAGAATAATACTGAGGATATACTTCATTAATTTTGGAGCTTCTGGGCGCTACATAGCACAAAAAGGCAATGCCTTTTCCCCCCTTTTGGCCTAGAACTGTAAGCAAAAAGCGTTCTCCTTTTCTTAGCTTTAAAACAAAAAAAAGTGCCAGCTGTAACCATTCCTCCTTACTTCTTCGTTTTTTAAACCTCGCATTCTTTCAAAACAGACACTGTTCTTGCTCATTTTATGACACTTCAAACTGTACGTGTCACTGTCACTTCCCATTTCTTCCCACTTCCCTCTGCACATTATAAACCAGCGGACTCAAACCCCTTCTTTTCCCCTTACATATTATATACTCTGAAATATTGCGCTATTGGGAGTTTTTAGAATAATACAAAAGAAAAAGTTAAGTACAAAAAAGTAACTGCTTTTAAGTGCCATCTTCTTGCAAATGCTGGTTCCAATATGAAATCTGTACATTTCATGAGCGTCTTAAAGTATATATATAAATATATATTAGCACTGATTTAAATACAAAATTAAAAGCACAGTGATGCCGTTTGTAACTCCAGGGTGGTAGCCAACACAGTCATACCCAGAGAAAACTCACAGAAATAATAGAATGATTTCAATGGGTCTATTCTGAGTATACATAGCTTACTGCTCTCAGTTTGCAGGGCACATGTATTTCCCACATGATGTATCTAAACATATACATGAATATAGTTTCAGGGTTTTCCCTCTCTTCATTCTAAAAGCGGGCTTTAAAAAAAAGAATTAAAAATTATCCATCCTTGGTTTTCAAAATGGTGATGTCTTGGTAGGATCCACACTTATTTTGCCTTCAGTCACACAGTGTCAGAATTACATGAAAAGCACTGCATATCAGTACATTATTTAAACACACACACACACACACACACACACACACACACATTCCTTTCTTGTTCCAACTGCACACGAAGAAGAAAATCCATCCACCCCAAAGTCTTGCTCTGCAGAAACCAGCGAAGTCACTGGACTTGCACTCAGCATCTTCAAACCAATCCAGAAAGGTTGCCCCGGCGGAAGGCAAAACTGCTTTTGTAAACTCTTGCAAACAGCGAGACTTAGGAAGCGGAGTAAGGAAGGTTTATATAAGCCTCGAACTCTTAAGGAATTGGATGAGGACTCCGTAGACAAACGTGTATTGGCACAAGGTCTGCACCATCATCATCCTTTGCTGTCTTAACATATCCAGCATTCTTGGGATGTCCAGTGGCTGCAAAAGAAAGATCAGAATGGAGAATCATCATGCCTGCAAGTCTATAGGTTTCTGCCCCAGACAGACAGGCACATTTACAGACATTTACAGCTTGGGGATCAGTTAACCTAAGGAAGGGAATGGAAGGAAAGACTCATGTCCCCTTCTTGCCCTTGCCTGTACACTCCAAAATGCCTTTCTGGAGGGCCAGAGGGGAATTGCCCAAAGAGTGGTACCCTAAGACATGTTAAAGAGATGCTTCTCATCTCTTCTTCCTACCAGCATCCCCCTCAACCCAGGATTTTTTTTGGGGGGGTGGAGGTGTCACAGGTGAGTGTAGGAGAGGACAAGAAACCGTCCTTCAATGCTATGAACTGCCCTGAGATCTACAGATGAAGGGCAGTATACAAATTTAATTAAATAATATTCTCAGAAGAAATTAGTTTCAATGAGTTTCATTGTGCAGCACTATGCATATCGTGTACATAGATTGTAAATAATAGAAGGTGGTGAAAAGTATGCTTTGAAACCTTTGGCATAAAGTTAGTCATTCCCAGATTGCTAGAACTGGGATGAGTTTCATTAATGCTCCTTGTCTTTGATCCCTGCCAGATCATGCTCTGTTAAAGCTCCCAGCTCCAAGAATGCAAAATTTGGTGAAGCAATTGGTAGGCTTTGTTACTTCGCGGCAGGACAGGGATGATGAACAGGAAACCAGCACCCCTAGTGCTATTCCTTGACATCATCGCATGGGAGGGGAATTGGCTACCCCCATGCTCCGTGGGCCCCCTGATCAAACTCCCCTACACACGCGCCAGAGTTTTAAAAGGCCAAGAAATAACCTCATTGTGCTCCAAGCAGGCAATCATGATCTCCGACAAGATGACCACGCCAGTTCTCCCAACGCCAGCACTGCAATGCACCAGCAGGGGAGGGTTGGGGGCTGTGGGGTCTGCAGTGCTGTTTGTATGGCGCCGGACTGACTGTATCTCTTCCAAGTATGCTGTCAGATCCAACAGAAAAGAGGAAAGAAGAGAGAAATTATTTAAACTAGGCAACAACGCAACCAAGTACAGGAAGTGACAGCCAAGTAAGTCAGGGCGACAGAGAGCACAATTGAGAGCGTCCACCGAGAACGCAACGCCACTCCTTAAAATTGCTTATAAGCTACCAAACCCAAATCCACACGCTGCTAATGGATTATAAAGCCCCAAATGGCTCAAGGCCCAAGTATCTGCGGGAGCACCTCAACTCCAATACCAAGCAACTCAATTAATCCTTAAGATTGGGAGAGGGTGGGGAGACCTTACTTCCAGTCTCTGTGAGGATTTGTAGTCAGGAAGCTCACAGAAGGGCTTTCTCCATGGTGAGAAGAAGAAGAGTTTGGATTTGATATCCCGCTTTATCACTACCCTAAGGAATCTCAAAGCGGCTAACAATCTCCTTCTCCTTCCTCCCCCACAACAAACACTCTGTGAGGTGAGTGAGGCTGAGAGACTTCAGAGAAGTGTGACTGGTCCAAGGTCACCCAGCAGCTGCATGTGGAGGAGCGGAGACGCAAACCCGGTTCACCAGATGATGAGTCCACTGCTCTTAACCAGTACACCATACTGGCTCTGGTTTGTTTGTGAGGTCATGACTCTGGTTTGTTCTCCCCATGGAGTGGCATCTGCTCTGCTGCCACCCCCAAAAAATTATTGCTATCCCTCCCTTCTTCAAAAGAACTCATGGCAGAACACAGGAGCATTCCCAGCTTGTGCCCTGGCCAGCATTTGTCCCTTTCAGGATGCTTGCCTTATTATGTGCTTTTCAAGACCATGCCCAGATCACACCAAAACTTGAGCAAAAGTGGGCAAAGCAAAAACAACGCAAATTCTTTACTTGGCAGATGGGAGCGGGGTACTTATAGCCACAAAAGACATTTCCCTAGCATCTCTTGACACCTAGTTCCCAAGAAAGGATTCATTTACCACAACCAAAGACAAGAAAACCCCTCGGAAACACTTACAAAGAAACCCTTTTATGTCCTCTGGGCAGCCGTGCTCCGGCCAGTCTGTGTACTGAAGGTGCCAAACCGTTCTCTCTTGCCCCGTGAGGAGGTGCTTGATCTTCAGGCCTGTCGTGGCGTAACAGCCAGAGTCCGTTCGGAATCGGGTGGTGATCTTGAATCTCCCGTATGTCACCGTGTTGTGCCTCGAGCCAAGCCGCGGCCAATACCGGAAGCTTTTCTCTCGGCATCCCTCCTGGAAACATTAAGCTTCGTCAACAGAAAGCTCCCATGTGCCCTTCCACACATTGTTGTTTCAAAAAGGACTTGTGGTTTATTATTTTCAAAATTTAGATCCCGCCTCTTCCTCCCCCTTCATTCCAACCTCAAAATGATCCTGAGATGTACCATATTGGCCCGAATATAAGCCACACTTTCTTTCCAAATTCTGACCGTGAAAAGTTAAAGTGTGGCTTGTATTCATGACCTTACAAAAAAATTGCTTTTACGATATCACTGCTGAAATAGACATATGGTAAAGTGGAACAAAAAAATGTTTTACAGTCATACCTTGGGATAAATACGTTTCAGAATAAGTATTTTCGGGTTGTGCTCCGTGGCGACCCGGAAGTAACAGAGCGCGTTACTTCCGGGTTTCACCGCTCGCGCATGCGCAGACGGTCAAAATGACATCATGTGCATGTGCGGAAGCGGCAAAACGTGACCCGCGCACGCGCAGACACGTCTTACGTTCTTTTCAGAATGTGAACGGGGCTCCGGAACAGATCTTATTCGCATCCCGAGGTACCACTGTATTGCCGATTTGTGAGCTTGAGTGCCTGCGGAATTGTAGCAACTGAGTAGCAATTTGCGATTTTAGCAATTGCACGGTAACTCTTGCAGGCTTGCAAGATCAAAGGCTTAAATTGGTTTGGAGTTACAATTCTACCAACCGCAGCGATTTTCAGCCTGTAACCCAATTTTAAGGGAACGGCTTATATTCTGGTATTGTCTCTCCCCCCCCATAAATTTTAAAGGTGTAGTTTATTTGTGGGTGCGGCTTATATTCAGGCTAATACGGTATGTTGGGGCTGTTAAAGAGGGGCATGTCCCAAAGTCGCCCAGGGAGTGAAGATTTGAAGCTTGACTTCCCCACTAGCCACTAAACTACATGGGCCCTTCTACACTGCCCTGTCATACCTGGTCAGTCAAAATTAGACTGGAAGGAATGGGCCATACCTCAGAGGCAGAGGGTCTGAACTGCATGGAGAATGGCCCAGCTTCAAACCTTAGCTTCTCCAGGTACAGCTAAGACTATCAGTGGCTATTGGCCATGATGGCTGTGCTCTGCCATGTTTCTGAATACCAGTTTCTGGAAACCACAGGAGGGGAGCTCTCAGACTCAAATCCCTCTTGCAGGTTTCCCACAGGCAACTGTTTGGCCACTGTGAGAACAGGATGCTCAACTAGATAGGCCATTGGCCTGAACCAGCAGGCTCTTCTTGTGTTCTTAACTGGGGGAAAACTCTGGAGAGCTGTGGTCAGTCAGTGTGGACAATACTGAGGAAGATGGACCATTGGTCCGCCTTGGTATAAGCTAGCCTCCCATGTTCCTTTGGTCGGTACATTCATACATAACCAAGTCGCTTCATGTTTATTATGCTCTTGCGCGGAGGAAGGTCGTTCAGAGTCAGGGCCATAAAGACAGCAGTTTCCAAGCTTATTCCCGCCCCAGAAGTGTCGCAAGTACCCACCTCTTCTGCAGTCACCATGGCTATAATGGCAACCCCTTGCTCCCACACCATCTGCCAGAAATCTTGGCATGTATTCTGCAAAGGACCTTGGGTAGCAATATAATCCCACTCCATGCCCCCAACGCAGACCTAAGAAAAAGAAAGGGAAAAAATGATGCAGGGGATTGTAAGACTAGAAAGAAAACAGCAGCAACAGGTCTGGAAACCAGGCCTTATGAGGAACGGTTGAAGGAGCTGGGTATGTTTAGCCTGGAAATGTGGAGACTGAGAGGAGATAGGATAGCCATCTTCACATATCTCAAGGGCTGTCACATGGAACAGTCATATTCTGTGAATCGCCCTGAGACCTCTGGGTATAGGGAGGTATATCAATAAAATAAAATAAAATAAAATAAAATAAAATAAAATAAAATAAAATAAAATAAAATAAAATAAAATAAAATAAAATAAAATAAAATAAAATAAAATAAAATAAAATAAAATAAAATAAAATAAATAAAATAAAATAAAATAAAATAAAATAAAATAAAATAAAATAAATAAAATAAAATAAAATAAAATAAAATAAAATAAAATAAAATAAAATAAAATAAAATAAAATAAAATAATAAAATAAAATAAAATAAAATAAAATAAAATAAAATAAAATAAAATAAAATAAAATAAAATAAAATAAGAAATGATAAAATAAATAAAATAAAATAAAATAAAATAATGGAAGATGGAGCAAGCTTGTTTTCTCCTGCTCTGGGGATAGAACTCAAATCATTATAAAGTTGCAAGAAAGGAGATTCTGACTAAACGTCAGGAAGAACTTTCTAACAGTGGAATGGACTCCCTCAGGAGGTGGTGGACTCTCCTTCCTTGGAGGTTTTTAAGCAGAGGTTGGATAGCCATCTGTCATGGATGTTTTTGCTGAGATTCTTCCATTGCAGGGGGTTGGATTAGATGACCCTTGGGTACCTTTCCAACTCGAAAATTCTATGGTTTTGGGAAATACCCAGTGTTTGCCATACTCAAGAGCAGACCCACTGAAATCAACAGACCTAAGCAACTTAAGCCTTTAATTTCACTGGATTTGTCAGAGCATGGTAAACATTAGATATCGCCCTCTGATTTAAAAATGGAGAGGTGGAAGTCAGCCAGCACTGATCAACCTGTATACCTTTTGTTCCTGCCATATTATTTCCTCTCTTCACATTTAATCTCCAAAATAGACAATTCATACCACCCCATATCATAATGATGAGAACAGAACACAGGTAAGGGCCTCTTCCTTGACTGTTGTCACCTTCATGGCAACTAGAAAGTTCAAAATATGCTTGGCAGAGCCATAACCCTCAGGCAGTATCATAATACGCCTCAGATCACTTCAGAGTGAAGGAAGGTTGTCTGATAACCAGGGCCAGCTCAAGACATTTTGCTGCCTGAGGCAAAACAGCAAAAGGTGCCCCCAGGTCAAAGAGAATTGTATGCAAGGCCGGCCTAGGTTTTGTTTCTGGCACCCAAGACCAAAAAAAAATCTACAATTGCCCCTCTCTGCCAGTGAAAAATAGAAAAATAGTAAATCAGATAAGTAGAAATTGTTGCCCTTTCAGGATACCTCAAATCAGCTTCCTGAGGCAGCTGCCTCAGTCTGCTTTATGGTAGGGCCCAGGCCCGTGATGAATTCATAATATGGGCCTGCATTGAGTTAGTTCAAAGACAGAGATTCTGAAAAGATCAACTTCCAAGATAATCCCTACTGAGAATAAGCAAAAGGCTCTCAGCTAAAACCTACTTTTTGATAGATACGCTCTGAGGTAGGATAAGTCAAAAGGATCAGAAAATGCAAAGAATGTAGGCTCTTTTTTCTGCCTAGCCTCACAGAAAATAAATGATGGCAAGTGGCATGTTGGATGTACAGCAGATGTTTTATCAGTTCCTTTTGTCCACTAAGAAAAGTACCATTCTCCAGTGCTCCTGCTCCTCTGCACCATCCCTAACGCCATCCAGTTAAACAAGCCTGTGGCATGCTTTGACTTTTAATTTCTAAAAAACGTTTCACAAGAAAGATCACAGATAGGTGAAAGAAATCATTCAGGAAAACAATCCCATTACTTCTTGAGCTCACCTTAATGTGGGATGCATTGATATAACCCGTATTGTTTTCTTTAGTAGGGACCAGCTCTACTCGGGTGTCGTCATAAGGAAGCACATCCTGAAACCTGTTCCTTTCTGCGTTTTCTGGAAGGCGGGCAATTGAACAGTCCCCATCAAGAAGCCTTTTCTTCTGGATCCGCTCATATTCTGTAAACACCATCCCTTGTTCCAACCCTTGTTCCAGACCTTTACACTAGAAAGAAAGAACACGTTTTATTGCTTTTCAACAGATGTCTGCCTCTGTGTGCGTGCTCTATTTTTTAATCCCCCCCAAAAAAAAACACTTTTAAGTTGCCTTTATATGGTGTGCTCTCAAGTAGGCTTATAGAATTTTAAAAACCACACAAACACACACAAAATTGATTAAAAAGCTGGTGGTTGTAATGAAACTATTATTGTTGTTTATATCTCGCCTTTTTTCTTGACAGGACTCAAGGCAACTTACATATAAAAACAAGAACCGCAAAGAACATAGAAAAAGAATATTAAAAAGCAGATAAACATTAATAGTTTTAAAACTATAGGTAAAGGTAAAGGGACCCCTGACCATTAGGTCCAGTTGTGGCCGACTCTGGGGTTGCGGCGCTCATCTCGCTTTATTGGCCGAGGGAGCCGGCGTACAGCTTCCGGGTCATGTGGCCAGCATGACTAACCCGCTTCTGGCGAACCAGAGCAGCACGGAAACGCCGTTTACCTTCCCGCCAGAGTGGTACCTATTGATCTACTTGCACTTTGATGTGCTTTTGAACTGCTAGGTTGGCAGGAGCAGGGACCAAGCAACGGGAGCTCACACCATCGCGGGGATTCGAACCGCTGACCTTCTGATCGGCAAGTCCTAGGCTCTGTGGTTTAACCCACAGCGCCACCATAAAATCTGTTTAAAACAACCATCCAGCTCATTAATACTAAGATCCAAAACAAAAACGCAACTTAAGGTTTCTGCTTTATAAGGACCCCCGTGGCCATTCTCTACACATCTGCAGAATACAATATCTCAAAACCACAGAGCTGGACCAAGAAGATGTACAAAACCAGTGGCAATAAAAAGCACCTGACACTTTTATTCCAAACTTGGTGCAGAAATAAAACCAAATCCTGATGCCTTTACTTGGATAAAACTTCTGCTTGGCGGCAACCAAGATTCTGCAACTATGGGAACTGAATATGAAACCTTTTTAACATGCAGCTCAAAGAAATCATCAAACCGACCCGTTCGTCATTTGTTGCTCTGGCAGGTTCCTCCTTCCCTTCGTCTGGCAGCGGCAGCCGAGATAACGTCAGTCCATTTAGAGCAGCTAACTTCAAAGGTCCCATTTTCTTGGCTTCGGCTCTGTTCTTTTTCATGACCTGCTGGAAACAAGGCAACCTGACAATGTGCTGCAGCAGAAACCTGGCTCAAATGAAATTGCTAGGGTGGGTGGCGGAGTGCGGAGGGGAGGGGGCTCATCCCAAGAAGGGAAGAACCGCCAGCCCTTGCCTCCTCTGGCCGACTGCAGAGACTGCAGTAGCAAAGCAACATTCTTTCCACCTGGTCTGTCTTCATTCCTCAGGTTTTCGAAACTTCATAGGAAGGATAAACAGACCTTAGGGAGAAAGGATCGTTGCAGACAATGGACTTTCATGAACAGCCACAGGCTGCAGTCCAAAAATTAGTGCAGGACAGCAAAATTGTGCACCCAAGTTGCATAGGTCCCAGTGACTTTTATTATTTTCTTCTTGCCCTTCTTTCCCGGGAGCGCAGGGTGAGCAGATGTGTGCCTCCTGCTTTCATTTATACTCACAAAAGCAACCCTGTGAGGTTTTTACAGCTGAGGCTAGTATGTGACTGGCCCAAACTGTGGACCTAGGTCTTCCTCCCCCAACATCAGTATTCTAAGTACAGTGGCACCTTGGTTTGCATATGTCTTGGTTTGCACACGTTTTGGATTACAAACACGTCAAACCTGGAAGTGCGTGTCCTGATGTGCAACCTTTTTTTGGATTACAACCCATTTTTTTGGATTACGAACAATTTTTTTTTTTTTGAGGCCCCATTGGCGAAAGCGCGCCTTGGGTTACAACCTGTTTTGGTTTATAAACGGACCACCGGAATGGATTATGGTTGTAAACCAAGGTAGCACTGTACTGCATTGGCTTACAGTGAGGTTTGAACAGCCTAAATGTGCACAACTGGAATCAGTTAGCACAGAGCAGGAATGTGGAACCTGTGACCCTCCAGATGTTGATGAACTACAACTCTAATCATCCCTGTGGCTGATGGGAGTTGGAGTGCAACAAACCATCTCTAGAGGCACAGGTTTCCCATTCCTGAACTAGACAAATGGAAATTAAGAGGAAAGTGTGAAGGAACATATGGTTTGCTTATTTCACAAAATTTATATACCACTAGATTGTAAATTAGTAACAATTGCCTGTCAAAGCACTTTACAAAAACACTCTCTTTACTGCCCCCTGACTTCATATACAAAGGTATGCATGGGACAAACAAGCATTCTGCTACAGAAGAAGCAGATTTCCTACTCTCATTTTGCACAGTAGACACAGCAATTTTTACTGCTTTGCAGAATTGATCCTGTTTCTGGGACAAATATGTATTCAAAGCATTGTTGCCTTTTGGCCAATATCACATTCTGCAGATTTCCTGCACTTCTGTGAAATACACACAGCCCTAAATACAACCTGTCAAATACCTTTCAACATTTAGCTGCCAGAAATTTGAACGTTTTTTATTGGCAGGCAAGTAACATTTCCCAACCCAGAGTATCCAGCCTTTCAAAGTCTTGCACACAAGCAAAATCGTGAGACTCCTTAGGATTATGCCAGCTGAGCATGTATGTTGGCAGGTGATCTTTAACATAAAGTAGAAATTGCAGAGGTTATTGGCTTCCAAACACGTCAAGACACAAAGTTATTGTTCGAAGCGGACTTTATATCCTAGCTTGTTTGGGAGCTATTAACCATATTAACACGTGATGGCATATTCATATATAAAGCTCACATTACATGCACGCATATATTGTATACAGTCAGTTGGCCTGCACAAATCGACAAGTGTACATGCTTCCACGCAAACAATTGTACATGCGTAGAGACTGCTTGCCTGTGTTCCATGTAATGTGTGAACAAGCGTCTAGAAAGACAAAAGAGGAACATCCTAGACTAGAGAAACTCACCCCTAAAGGAGGAAGCCCTTCCACTATGTTCTTCTTCCCGGAAAGCAATTCAGACACAGGCCTCTTCTTTACGGAATCCTTCCGCACCCTGTACCTTGCAGACATTGTTAAGTCAGACTCTGACACAGACGGAGTCAGCAGTCCGTCGCCTCTTCTCTGTACCTGAGTGTCAGCCATGATGTGGGCAGGACTCGCATCTTTTACTCTCTTCTCGGTCTCAGTAATATGCAACTTGGGTTCGTGTATGTGCAAAGGGCCCGGATGTGAAGTGATGGAGCTGTAGGGGTAGTTCAGTAAGGATTCAGAAGGATAGCATCCCATGACAGAAGGAAGCTGGGGTTTCCCATTGACGAAGGGAGAGAGGGTTGCATTGGCCTTGTGTTCGTCTTCAAATTCTTCCTCTTCCTCGCTGCTGTGAATCAGCATAGTGGCATCTGAAAGAGACTTCTTATGCCCATAGCTCACATTTTCCTCTTGCTCCTCATTTTCCTCTTGTTTCATCCTCTCCAAGAAAACAGTGGGCTGCGAGCTGGCAAGTATCACCTTTGGAGGGGCCACATCCGCGGCTGACGCTGACATGGTCCTCTCTTTAATCCTCATGGCCTCAAAGTTGTGGGCCAAGCCAGCTATCTCAATACTGTTCCTCTTCTGCAGCTGAGCGTGCCGGGCCGACGTCAAGGGCTCGCTCACTTCCTGGAGGGAATGTGCAACGGGTAGACTGTCTTCCTGAAACGTCTGAACCGAGTGATGGACCCGCCGGGTAATGAGATCAGGATTGCTGCTGCTGATGTAGAGGTGCCGAGAAAGGTCCGGCGTGCTGTTGGCGGGTCTCGGGTGAGGGTAAGGAGGAGGGGGGCGATACACTTGAGTCTTCATGATGTTTGGCGCAGGGTACTCCTGGGCCTGTAACTGAACGTTTGTCAGTTCAGGGACGCTCACCGCTCCAACCACCAGGCGCCTTTCGGCAGGATAGGGGTAGGGCGACTGGCTGTGGAAACTGTAGTTCAGGTTGAACGGGTAGTGGCCAGAATGAGGGGAGGTGAAATTGGCGTGTTCTCGGATTTCAGGCTGGCTATAAACCATGGCGTCGGGCCTACTGTAGGCGTAGGAGTTGCCGATGTTAAGGTTCCTCATTGAGTGGCTCTGCTTGTCTGAGTGGATCATTCCCCGGTTAAGCTGCTTCATCACCGTCTCGTAATCCGGGGTAGGCCGATACGAAGGCGGTATGAGGGCACTGTGCCGGTGTGACGGGACGTAATCAGACCGGAGGACGTCGCTGCCAGTAATGCTCGGGTTGGAGGACATGGGCGACGGCTGCATGTAGTGTTGTGGGTTATTCAACGAGTTTGTGCTGTGAGCGCTGTAGACGCTGCCGTTGCGGATTCTGCCATTGTAGTCATGCGGCGCCCTGTCCAGGCTGGTCTGAGAGTGGCAGTAATAGCCATTCTGGTTATTCCCATAGAGGTTATCTGAAATACACAAGTTAGGGCCCTTTTATAGCCACCCGCAGAAGCTTCAAAAAAGGCATGTAATAGTTGTTAACGAAGTATCAACCTTCCCCCTCCTCCATGTGCATTGTGTGCTTTTAGATCAGTAATGGAATCGTGCCTCTCTCTGTATCAGCAAATTAATCTAACAACTTCATGGTCAACAGCTAAAATGGGCTGAATATCTAATTTCAATCCACTGCATAGAACAGCCTAAACATAACAACAGCCTGGTGGATCAGGCAGTGGCCTATATAAATCCAGTATCCTTTTCTCACACTGGGTGCAATAGGAGAAGTCTACAAGCAGGACATGAGCACAGGAGCACTCTCCTGTCCTGTGGTTTCTAGAAACTGGTATTCAGAAGCATTACTGCTTTCAACTGTGGGGAGGGAACGTAGCTAATGGAAGAGCCCAGTAGGTCCCCAGTCTTGCAGTATTACCCAGCTTCAATTTCCAGTACCTCCAGTTTTAAGGAGCAGTTAGCAAGTGATGGGTCATACCTTAGCCTGAGATCCTACTGCCAATCAAAATAGGCAGTGTTAATCTAGATCAGTGTTTCTCAGACTTGGATCTCCAGCTACAAATCCCATCATACCTGATCACTGGTCCTGCTGACTGGGGATGATGGGCGTTGTAGTCCAACAACAACTGGAAAGACCCAAATTGGGGAAACTCTGGTCTAAATGAACAAGTAGGCTAACCTGGCATAAGACGACATGCTCATGACAGGTCCATGTGCAATGTCAAAGTATAGATAAAACAAACCAAGTTTATAAGTCAAAAAACATGACTACAGATTGTGGTTTGCTAGCAAAACCACAGTTAAATCATTGGGCATTGTTCAATCAAACAAATCACAGTTCAATAATCCATTGTTAATAAACCTCGGCTTGGTGCTACATGCAAATCAGGTCACATTCTCCCATCCAGGCACTGAATGTATTGATAACATTAATAATAACATTAATAACAGTATAATGACCTCCCACTCTCTTCTCTACCACTTCCAATTCAATAATGTAATTTCCCTCAACCCCCTTTATTGGCAGAGTAAAATATTGAAGTTTCCCAAGCACCTTAAACCTTTACCTTGGGAAGATGTATACTGGTCTGCATAGGGTCCATTGTAGTGCAACTGAGGTGGTGGTGGAGCCATCATATAAGGCTGCGGTTTGGGCTGCTTAAAAAAATAGAGATATTATAGAACTAAGTGGAGATCTACACAAAATTATGATTATATATATTTTTAATACCTGTTGGAAGCTGCCCAGAGTGGCTGAGGAAAATTATTATTAAAACTATTTTTATTTTAACTTAAAGCACTCCATGATGCATGTAGTGTTATTTGCAAGCACACGCTGCCTCACAAATCTCGCTGGCGGAAGAGAGCTGTACATAAAAAGGAAGGTTCATTCTAACTGGCTAACTTATTTAGGGTTGTCATATTCCACAAAGTGAAAGCAAAATCTGTAAAAAAAAAAAAGTTTTTGGCCAAAGTCGTCGATGTTTTGTTTTTGATTTTTTGCAAAATCTGTTTGTTTTGGGGTTTTTTAAAGGAAGCATTTGAGCTTTTTTAAAAGGAAATGTGCCAAAATCTACACTTCCGACGTGGGTCGCCATACATCAGGATTTCCCCAGACATTAAAGCAATTTCCGACTGGACGCTGTTTCCAACGGCCGAATCCCAGCTACGTCCGGGAAATTCTGAACAGATGACAACCCTAACTTACTAGAAACTAACCCACACTGTGATGGGATGATGAGCTGCTTGTGCGTAAAATGCAAGTCCCTCAGAGTTTGATCAGGTTTTCAAACCTCTGCCTGTGACGGAGCCCCTCCGGCATGGCTGCGTCAATTGCTAGCAGAATCCGAAAGTGGTTGCTTTTGGAATCGTTTCCAACATAAAAGCTCCTTAACGGAAACACGTCTTCTGGACTCTCGGCGTGACAGTTTCCGGCGAGGAGTGGGTGTCCCTATAGGAGGTCCTGAGACCTCCCCACTGTTTTCGCTGGAAGCGTCTCTGAGCCATCCCTCCGACTCACTTTCCCTTGGAGTTCCTGCTCTCCCCCTACTGGTTCCCTCTTCAGCTGCTACGTCTCTCTCAACCTCAGTGAGCCTTTGCACCTCCTGTCCTTCCGATGGCAGTTCCCTGACACACACCTATTGGAATTCCCATGTCTGCAAGAAAACTGCTGAATCAGGCAAACACTACCTTACGTAGCTAAAATGCATCTCTTGAAGTTGACAGCCAAGAGCACCTGCCAATCATCCAATCAGCAGTATCTAGGTTAAACCAATAAGCATGTAACAGCCAACTCAAGGCTATTATGAAGAAATTACTCACTCCAGTTGTGCAAAACCTGGATTATCCAATAGAGTCAGTACAGTATAGCAAAACTAGCCTTTGTACCTTAACAAGGAAGAACCTACTACACTAGTTGCTGTGTCACAGTGTGACATAGGCGCCGACTCCATGGGGCTTGAGGGGGCCCGAGCCCCCTCAAAAATTCGTTTGGGGGGGCTCCGCCCCCCCAATAATCTCCGGCGCCCCTCCAGCAGAGCGCCATCGCCGCCCCTCCCCCAGCCCAAAATGCACAGGGAGGGGCGGGCTGCATGCCTCCTGCCCTCCCTCCCGAGCAAAAGCTCCACCCAATTTCCTTTGGAGCTGATTAATAGGCGCAGCACGCTCTCCCCTATTCGCTCACGAGGAGGCGGCGCCACTTTATTTGCATATTCATGAGCTTATTTATTATTCATGAGCTTTCCCGGGCCCCCCCAATATTTTTTATAAGTCCGCGTCCCTGCAGTGTGATATGAGGACATGAGTGTGGACAGCTTCCTCCCAGCAAAAAACAGCTAGGGAAGACGTTGAGATATTTTTTTTAAAATTAAAGGGATTAGCCTAAAAGCAGGAATATTCACAGAATAATCTGAACTGATTCGAGTCATTGGTCATTCAGAATCAGAATAGAGGCATGGGATGCAATTTGGTGAATGAAATATGGCTCTTGAATTCATGATAGCAATAATGGGAGTGTCTGTTGGATTCTAAGGAAGCCCTGAGACCTAAAGAAGAAGAGGAGGAGTTTGGATTTGATATCCCGCTTTATCACTACCCGAAGGAGTCTCAAAGCAGCTAACATTCGCCTTTCCCTTCCTCCCCCACAACAAACACTCTGTGAGGTGAGTGGGGCTGAGAGACACTCTGTGAGGTGAGTGGGGCTGAGAGACCCAGCAGCTGCATGTGGAGGAGCGGGGACGCGAACCCAGTTCACTAGATTATGAGTCTACCACTCTTAACCACTACACCACACTGGTGCTTTATTGCCATTCCCTGGAAGCAAGAAAGTTGGGTTAAGTGGAAACTGACGAGCGGATGGCAGAGGCAGTCCCTGACTAGACTACTTTCAGGTATTTCAAGCTGCAAATGTAAATGTAAATGAAACAAGCCAGTCTGTTTAGGCTTTTGCAGGACCTGCTGTTCAGAGTAATCTCTTCAAATTCATGAGGATTAACACTGATCTGTGTAAAGTTTCGTGAGGCAGAGGAAACAGCTGGTCGTGGAATATGGGATTGTTTGACCCTGTCCATAAACATAATGAGTTGGGCATTGCAATTTTGTCTTTGGGGGCTGTGCTATGGAACAAAAATTGTCTTTGGAGTCTGAGGTTAAAAGACTTTGAGGAAGTTTTTGAAAGATACAAGTGAGTTTAACTGAGATGCAGAAACTGCTAAAGCCAGCAGGTGGTGGTAATGGGGCCTCTCTTATGGCTTTGCAATGCCATTAAACACTTGAAGGGTTTTGTATGAGAGTAGAAGGTAAAGTGCTCAATTTTTTTTATTTCTAATTGACTTCATGGGCTATTCAAATATTCATGACTATACCAGATTTCTATTAAGTGCTTATTTCAGCTCCATAGGCCTTCTATCACATAGGAGTCAGCAGCCCATCCACCACAAAGGAAATTGGTCCTTTCTAGCTTTTTCGAGTTTCTCCATTCAACAGCCCTTCAACCAATGAGAAACCTTTCCCCCTTAATTAATAACCTTTTAAAGGAAACCTCAAAGAATAAGGAAGAGCTTGGAGCTAAAGACCTTACCAGAGACATCCTGGAGGAGGACCTTCTTCTAACCGGATTCACGGTCACTGCCTGAGCTTGTCTACAAAGCAAAGTTACACACTTAAAAACAGATTTTGAAGTAATGTCATTGACAGTGCGGTCCTATGTTTGCATACTCAAAAGGAAGTCTCACTGTGCTCAAAGGGACTTTCCCCCCCAGTTAAGGGTGTTTAGGGTTATAGTCTTGGGGACAAAAAGTGTGAAGTGATTGCTACTCCATTGTAAGAGAGAGGGGCCACCAAGAAAGGCAAATGAAAGAAAATGTTGTGACTTTAACATCCTTTCTCTATCAGGAAACAGTGGCATTAATGCTCATCTTGCATGTTCTGCATTAACACCAGGAGTTCAAAGTGAGGACAACTCAGATTTCCAGAAATCTGCTCGAAGGAGACAGTAGCATTTTGCTTGGCAATCTAGTATTCCTCAAGCAGTCCTGCGCATACTGTAGCTGTATTCATAGCGGCATAGCTAGGTTTTGCCGCAAGGATATTTTTGTTCATTGAATTCCCAAGTAAACCTTAAACATATCTGGTTCTTTGTCTTTATTAATTAGATAGAGCAGGCTGCTCAATTTACTACTTTAGTTCAGTGGCTCAAGCATGCTGAGTGGCTCAAGCATGCTGGTAACACTGGAGTTGTTTGAGAGCTGTCCTTGTTTGAAGAGGCACACCCATGTCCAATAATAAGCCCTGCCTGGCTTGTAGGACACACTCCTGTTGCCCTCCTGCAATATGGCAGCGACTACAACCAGGAATTTTGTAGCCTCACCTCTCGCAAACAGCAAGGCCAGCAGTCAACAGAGATGGGGCTTGCAGCACAGCAACATATCAAGGACCGTAAGTTATCTATTGCTGGCTTAAGCATGCCTGCCTGCCCTTTTCAATCCATTTGAGTTCTTTCCTTCTGTACCCCCTCCAGATCCTCCCAATCTAATTTGTTTCTCCTGTCTGCTCTGAGCCCATCTGCCACTGTAAGCAACAGGGAAGAGAACCACAGGCAAGACTACCACGTCTAAAAGGAAGACATAACTGATTCATCAGGTCTCAGGGCACTTCCTGCTTCAGTTGTTCCAGGAAGTCCCAGCTGTGCTCCTTGCCAGATGGAACTACTGGCCAAAAAGAACACATAATGGGTACTTTTGGCGGCCACAATGCAGAGTACTCCTGGTCTAATCACTCCTGTGACAATGGGAATAAATCAGGTTGTGACCTGTGCAGAACCTTGCAAAAGGCATACCCCACTTCTTGCATAAATTTGTCCTATGGTGCACTAACTTACGCTGAATTTGGGGATCATGCAGTTTCCTTGATCTTTCTGTCCCATCCGGCATGTTCAGTTTGCCCAGTGCTATTTTTCTAGAAAAAGAGGTGCCGGAACTCAACATGAACGCCTCCCTTGTTCTCTTGTAATGGCAATGGTGCCCACCTGAGAGGTGCCAGAACTGAGTTCCGGCTGAAAAAAAGCCTTGCCCATGCCAACCTTAGATATGCTTGGCCTGAACCCAAAGCAATTCTTTCACCCCACCCTCGCAGTCTGCTCATGTCCAGGGTCCTGTTCTCGCAGCAGCCAATCACATGCCCATGGGAAGCCCAAGAGCAGAACTCAAGTGCTCCCCCACAACATCTGATGCCCAGCAATGATATTCAGAGATACACTGCCTCTGAGAGTTGAGCAATGCATGACTGCATTGTGTTGGTGCCATGGGAGCTAACGGGGGAGCAGTACAAATACGTCGCATGCAAAGAACACAAAAGGAAAGAAAGAATGTTTACTGGCTCACCCTTTGAGCAGAGAAGGACGAGAAAGGATTGGAAAGCGTGGAAAGGAAAGAATGAGGAAAGATTTCTGAGAGCCTTCCTCAGGCGGAGAATCTGGGGAGTCTCTAAAGACAAGGTACATGCAGACAAAATGTAGACAATGAAACAACACATTTATAACAAAAAGGATGCTTGTTATCAATGGAGGAGACATTTCAAGAGATTGTCAGGTGGGTTTCTCAAGGGTGCTCCTATGGTCATGATCACCCAGTCCCTCCTATAATCACAAATTGAAAAATAAAGCAGAGTCTATAGGAAAATGATTTGATTAGTCTACGACAGGGATGGAAAACATGTGGTTTCTGAGGTCATGTGTTTTTGGACAGCAGGCATGAGTTAGGAGTCAAAGAGTCTCTGTTCCTGTTTAACAGCAAGTAAGTTTCTAGTCCACACAGCTAAAAGAAAAAAATGCTAGTTGTGTATCTTAAAGAAACAAGGACAGACAAAACGATGCTCACCTGCATCACAGTTTCCTCACCTCAAATCTTATTGTATTTGAAACCCAATAGAAGGGAGGAGATAGATTTATTTGGCTATGGGTGGTTTTTTTAAGGGACTTGAGTTAGTGCTGTCAACCTTTGACATTTATTACACCATAATATTGCAAAGCAATAATAAACGGATCATGTTCACAGTAATAAAATAAACTATTCATTATTATATTTTTAGACCACCCTTCAACAAAAATTCCCATATTTCTATAAAAGTGTTCTGGTAAAATGATAATGACAATTAAGAGTAATTTCTTGAAACTGTTCCTGGTAGAGCTTTAACAAAGTGGCTTGTTTAAATCATGGCGGATACAAGGGGCAGACAGTGACCTCTAACATCACCGCACTGTAACAAGCATTGCTTCCTACCGACATAGCACTGAACCTCTTCCCAAATGACACCATTTTGGATTTCTGGCCTCTTCCTCCATCCCTCTTCGGGCAATCAATTGTACGGTAGTTCTTCCAAATGCCATTCCATTCTCTCTGCACCATTCCCACAACACAGACATTCTCTGGCAAAAGTCCTCATAGGAACAGGTTCATGGGAGAATGCGACATATAAATGGAATACTTTTGCACCTTGTTATACTTCCAGTAAGGGAACCAAGCCTTTGTGAGTCATCTTGGTAATCCTGTAACATGCACCTCTGTCCATTGGGAGCTGGTCTGCTACTACACTGGGGGTGAGGAAGCTGTGGCCCTCCTAATGATGTTGGCTAGTCTGATGGGAGTTGGGAGTCCAAAAACATCTGGAGGGCTGTTGGCTAACCACCCCTGCACAAAACCCATCTTATAACACTGGACTTTCTTATTATACAGTAGGTGGACTGTGAAACTTGAAGGATAATTACATTCTGATCCACACATTATTCCAGGAGGTGTGAAGTCAGTTTGCTCTGGAATTCACAAAAACAGAATTCTTTAAGCACCCTTAACCCAAGGTACTTTGGATCCAAGTACATCAGAGGTTTTCAACCTTTTTGAGTCCACGGCTCCCTTGACCAACTACATTTCTTCTGCAGCACCCCTGTGGGGTTCAGGAGCCCAGTTATGTCACCCCTTGTCTGCAGAGCTAGCAGCCTCTCACCCATTTTTTAACACCCTCCATTGTAGCGTGTTCCCTTAGCCTCCTCTTCTTTCCCCTCTCCTTGGGAAGCCTCCAGACAGCTGCTGCCATCCCAGGTCTCTGAGCTGCCCCACCCCACCCCAAAGAGAGGTGCCTCACAGAGGTACCATTGACTTGCAGAGCTTATAGCCGGGGCTGCTGCAATAAACAGCTGTGCAAGCCTTTGGGAGGCAGAGATGCAAGAGGGCATGAGAAGAAGGAGGGAAGGAAAGAGAGATGGAGGCCAGTGTTGCCTGTGGCACCCCTGGTCATCATTCAAGGCACCCCAGGGTGCCACGGCACACTGGTTGAAAACCACTGCAATACATTATTCTTAGATTCAGCACCAAGGATAAGCCTTCTGTGGCCTCAGATAAGGCTCCTGTTTGAACGCTGAAAAATAAGTTCCAGTCTCAGGAGTCTGCACTCAGAAACAAAGCTATTTGGTTAAGGTGTTCAAGTAGTAAAGTACGGAATATAAATTAATGTGGAGAGAGATTCACTAAAGGATTATTATACTTACAGGCTACATTTATTTAGTCTATAAAATTTGTGCCTGGCCACACACATCCTCCACACATATTTTGCCGTTTCCATGTCTTCCTGTTAAACAAAAGAGATTGTATGTAAGGCAAAACGAGTGGCTGGATGCATCTCTTTCAAATCACTTCCCTACTAAGAGGATTCTCAGGACCAAAGTAAGGGCCAGCTTTGGCCTATCTTCTTGCTGCATAAACTCAAGGACAGTGGAAAGGAAGAGAATCCCACTAAGCCATTGTTGTTGTTGTTAATTAAATTTATATACAGCCCTTCATCTGAAGATCACTGGGCTATTTCCAACATAAAAATACAAAAAGAAAACTCAAAATACATAAAACAAACAACAACAACGGGAAAACACCAGTAAGCCCTCCCCCCTCCCACAAACACATTTAAAAGACCACAGTTCGGGTCTACAAAGGTCTGATATCTAAAAGCCAACAGATGATTTATGCCTTCTTTCTCATGCCATACATTTTATTTAAAATGCATATGAATAAAATCTCACTCACTTACAGTTTGGAACTGGATAGTCTCTTCTTTATTTGCCAATTCTAATGCAAAAAAGGACTTGTTGTGGGACATGTTAGCAATGTCATGCCACCTAGACAGGGGTAAGGAAACAAGAGAGTGTAAGAGAGAGAGAGACCTCACAAAGCACTCTGCTTTAACTGCACGTGTATAAGAGGGGATCTGAATTCGCCATGCCATTTCCCACATAGTTGCAAAAATTCTTAGCTACTTTGCAAAGTTTCTGCTTCAGGGGGTCTTATGATTTGGTTGGTTCGACGCTTGCTTGCATGCACACATGCATCTGCAACGCAGGGAATCACAAGGTATGAACTGACCACATGATTGGGCACCTAAAGGTTAAGGGACAAAGACTCTTAAAAGAATCACCATCGCAGGAAATGAGCTCACCTAAAGATGACGGGAGGCCGGCCATTTTTGTGTTTCACAAAGATTCCATCAAGACAAGCTCCGATGAATATGTCACTTCCTTGGCTGTCCTGAAAGATATAGAAATTGCATATCACTTGCACCTTTTTCCTTGCAAAAATAGCTTCATTCGTCATACCCTGCCCACAGCACCCTGCTCCCATGTTTGTGCTCTAAATTTGCACCAACAATGCAAAGTAAGCTCATTAGATGTATTAAAAATTGAAATGCTCAATATCTCCTTTAATTAAAAAAAAACCAGACGCCTTTTTTCTGGGAATTACAGACTCAGATATTCCCAAAAATGTAAGAGAGATCTTTTTATATGCCACGCTCGCACCAAGAGTTCTTATTGCAGCAAACTGGAAGAGTTATAAAGTTCTTTCAAGGCTAGAATGGATTCAAAAGTTGGTTGAATATGCGGAACTAGATAATATGTCTGAAAGAATAAAGAACAACCCAAAACAAGTATTTATCTCAAAATGGGTAGTCTTCAAAATATATTTGAAAAACAACTGTTGCAGTTTAAACTCTGTTGCAGCATTTGAGCAATTTCAGTAGCAGTTTGAAGTCTGATGCAAGACCCAAGATAGATAAAAAAATATTTAAATTCTGTTAATAATCTGCTATGTTTCGGCAGCAAGTTAGTGATGAGTAACTGAAGTAAGGAGTGGACGGGAAGTTTGGTCTAAAGCAAGAAGACCTTTTTAAATTTATGGCTTTGTGTTTATTATTTGGTATACTATGGGTTCGTGTTTGCTATATGGTTTATTATTTGGGCACGGTATTTGGTATATTACTTTTTTCTTATTGTGTTGATGGATATGGACAGTTGTCTTTTTTGTGGATTTATGTGAAAACAATAAAAAAAATGATTGTGTTTTAACAACCCTGCCTTTCTACATAAAATGCAATATAAATTACATGATAAAAGAATCAAACAATGTTCCTGTTTGCCTAATTTGTTTCCAAACTGAAAATCTGGAATGTTTTAAGTTCAGAAATTCTGCATGCTGAACAGAGACCTGAGCAATCCAAGTTTGACACCTGAGCAATCTGTTGACGTTTCGGCAAAAATATTCTGATATCTCAGAACTGTAAGTAACAAGCCAAAGTGACTTAGGCCTGAGTCAGCTTAATATACCTTTTTTAAAAATGCAAAGAGAGTGGTTTTTTTATTATAGTCGTGGCTTTCTGAAGTCATGGCACAAACAGTCAACAAATTCACAGAAGAAACTTAGCTTTACCTTTGCAGGATAACTCTCTTCACCATATCCTTCCATCCTCTCAACTTCTTGCATATATAACATTTCTGCATCAGGTGGAGTGAGGCCCCTTCAGAAACAAAAAAAGAAATTCAATTTGCTAAGTAGCTTCTTGAGGCAGGTTAGACTGCTTCTTTTAGCATATCAAGAGTCCACTTTTTTGTATGTTCCCCAACAGAAATACACTTGGTGCAACATCTGCACTTGGTGCAGAAAAAAATTGCAAAAAGCAACTGCACTGAGGGTTAAAATGACCACTATTTAACTTCCATAAGCACCTGTGGAATTATTTATTTTAGGTATTTATTGACAGAAGTATTTTACTGCCCTATCATGAAATATCAGTGCATTTAAGAATTATATCCAGGATATAAAAAATAATTCTAAGCCTTTTACAGTTTCCCTTGCTTCATGTATCTCCAATGATCAGGTTTCTGGCACTCAAAAGGTTTGCTGCAGCCTTTTGGCTTGGGGCCAGTGCAGACATAATGCTGGATCTCTGAAAAATGTGGTTAGCAACAACAAACCCACACTCAAGGAATATGTGCCCAATATCTGAGCAAATTTCTCCCTCTCCTTCTAATAACATGCTGACAACAACATGGGTTAAAGCAAACCGGGGTTTCTATTAACCCTCTTTGAAGCAACTTTCTAAAAACTGGAAATCATGCTTAGCTTAAATTGGTGTTAGTTAGGCACAGAGCCAAGGCTACGTCTGTGCTAGCCCACATGTGAACAAGCTCATCTAGCAACATTCAGACCTGAAACAGCAGCACAATTTCAGAACTGTTACCTGTACTTCTGATGGAGTAAGGCCACTTTCTGGGTTGCCTCTTCCAGGATCTTTTCATCTTGCAACCAACCCTTAAGCAACAGAACAGAAACCATGAGAACTTCCTCCCATGTAAATTCACAACCCTCCAAACTTAATGAAGGGCTGGCTAACATTCACATACCCCAGGCAGCGGCAGAGGGAGAAGCCCAGGCCATCTACCCAGGAAGAGAACAAGTAGTGCACTTTAACATCTATTGCCTGCTATCTCAACTTCTGGTAGGCTTGCAGAGCTTGGCTTCCTAGAGGGCCGAGTCAGGCTTGACTCAGCAGTTCTTGATTGCAGGCACCTGTTCCTGCCTTCATCAGTACCTCCTTAAGAAACACTGCCTTGGGCCATGGGCTCACCACCAAAGGGGTTTACCCCCCATTGGGAGCCACTTGGGTGAGGGTGTTTAGTCCTTGGAATATTTGGTTACTGATGGGTTGATTCCAGGAACAACCAGTAACAATAATAATTAATTATTTTTGAACCCTTCCCGGTTCAAAAACTGGGCTCAGGACGGCTAACAACAAATTTAATTGTAAGTGCAGCATAAAATACACTATAAAAACATGAATAATCATAAAATTCAAAGTTCGGAAATCAATTTAGGGGAAATCCATCTAATAAGCATTAGATAATCACCAGGACTAGCTGGCTGAATTAGTCCTACTTGGGCCAGCGAGGAGGCCAAGGGAGAATTAGCTGTGGGGTCTCAGAGCGGGTAATCTTCATAAAAGGGGAGGGGGAGGGAAGAGAAGGGAAATAAAAGATCAGGCTCAATTCAAATTAAAGGCCAGGCAGAATAGCTCTGTCTTACAGGCCCGACGGAAGGAGGTTAAATCATGAAGGGCCCTAGTCTCATGGGACAGAGCATTCCACCAGGTCGGAACCATCACTGAAAAGGTAGGTGCCCTAACCCAGCCTCTTGGTGAGATATGGTGTGCTAGGGAATGGCGACCTGGTGAAAGCATGGGAAACATCCATGGGTGCAAATGCAAAATGTTTAATGGGTGGTAATTGGATAGTGAGCTCTCCTGTTGAGGTAATTAAGCAACTGCCTTTAGGCAGAGAGGGTGGAATCTCTCTGCCCATGAAGAGTCCAGTAGGCTCCTTAAGTTTCCTGAGGAGTTCCAGGCTATGAAGGAGGTTGGTCAGTGGCTGAAGCATAGGTGGCACTAAATTTGGCACATATCTGACCAAATAGAGGAGCAAATACACAGCCATACCTACCACATGGCAGGTGAGGAGAGCATCACTCTCTGTCTCTATTGCAGCGGTTCTCAACCTGTGGGTCCCCAGATGTTGTTAGACTACAACTCCTATCATCCCTGAGCTCTGGCCTTGCTAGCTAGGGATGATGGGAGTTGTAGTCCAACAACATCTGGGGACCCACAGGTTGAGAACTGCTGCTCTATTGCATCTTCAGTGAATATCCAAGCAGGGCTGTTTACAGAGTGGTAAATGAGCTGGCTCAGAACAGTGTTAAATCACTGACACTGAACCAGTCAGTAGCCTGAAGTGAGAGATTTGTGAAGAAGAAGAGTTTGGATTTGATATCCCGCTTTATCACTACCCGAAGGAGTCTCAAAGCGGCTAACATTCTCCTTTCCCTTCCTCCCCCACAACAAACACTCTGTGAGGTGAGTGGGGCTGAGAGACTTCAGAGAAGTGTGACTAGCCCAAGGTCACCCAGCAGCTGCATGTGGAGGAGCGGGGAAGCGAACCCGGTTCACTAGATTACGAGTCCACTGCTCTTAACCACTACACCATACTGAATCATTTTGAGAGCCAAATCACTTGGATCCGTACTGAACTTGATACCACAGTTGGTTCAGATCTGTTGGGAGGTCCTGGGAACAACCAAGATTTACACCTTGAGGGGTCAGTGGCTTCAACCCGTTGATGTGGGATGCTTGCAGTGGTGAGACCAACAATATGCCTTCTTCATCCCTGCCTGACCAACATGGCTGATAAAACTGGGTAGAAGGTGACTGACTAAATGGCATGGTCAGTGCCTCACTGCAGGAGGGAGTTATGCCCACTGCCTTGAAAGAAGTGATATTTTAATTTCTCCCAGGTTTTTTATTATGACACAGTGGACGCTCAGGTTGCGAATGTGATCTGTGCGGGATGCACGTTCGCAACCCGCAGCGTTCGCAACCCGTGTCTGCGCACGCGCAGGTTGCGATTTAGCGCTTCTGCACATGCGCAAAGTGCGAGCAAAACCCGGAAGTAACCCGTTCCAGTACTTCCGGGTTTTAGCGGTCCGTAACCTGGAAAAAACGCAACCTGAAGCGTCTGTAACCCGAAGGTATGACTGTATTAACATTCAACAAGTTTTCAGAACAGGAAGGATATCTAAATGACCCTTTTGAAAGGGGGGGGGAGATTTAGTAATGAATGGTGCTACTTTTGAAGAATGATTTTTTTAAAAAACTATTTTTATTTATCAAGCTTCTCAGGCAATCCTCTAAAGTGAATTACAATAAAGTAAAGACTAACACACATCTGTTGGGTTTAAAAGACAAAATAAAAAGATTAGCAACCACCAGGCATAATGTGTTCACTTCTGATATTTCTACATCAGTTTGTTTTCCCCCCAGTAATTTCCAAAATTGGAATTGGAGAGAGAAGGGGGGAAGAAGTGAGCTATTCTTACCACAGGAAACAAGGCAAATCTCTGTAGAAATTCCTGCGATTCATATTGATCATAATCTCCAAAATCAGCTGAGGAATTAAGAGAAAACAGGCAGGAATTAAGTGCATAGGGAAGTTCACTATTTCACAAAAGTCTCATAACAGATACAGCATAGTGGTTGGTGCCCTTTGGTTTTTCATCTCAAAATAAAATTGTGCAAAGCCAAGACTGCCTAAATTGTACAAGAGCAATTAAGCAAGTAATAATTTGTTGAACAGTCATTATTAAAGAGCCAGATGAGGCTAAAGAAAAGAAATTAAAGAATGTTGCATAAACAAGCTATTTCAAGTCATCAGTTTGATCTCACTGGCAAATAACGTTCTTGGCAAGTCTTTTCTAGCACACGAGATCATCATTCATAGCAAGTAAACGGAGGCAGCAAAGGAAAATAGACCAGAGGCTTAGAGCACTCTCTTCATTTTCCCTGCCAGGCATCCACCTCATTCTTGTGGTTGTTTTCTTCTCTGGCATATAGCAGCTACACCAAAGTGCTAAGTTAAAACCAAGAGTGATACTGCCTCCTGCATTTCGCAGATGAAAATAAGGCCACACTTGAAACACCTCTCTACCCAAATTAAAAACTGCTGTCTGTGAGAATCATGAATCGCTGAAGGCTGCAACTCTCTCTTGTGCTATGCTGGTTTCATTTAGGGCCGTCCTCCACTGGTTTTAAAAGCCAAGACGGTGCCTTTGTTCTTTGGGCTGGCGATATATTTTTAAATACACAAATGTCCGATATTATGCTGCCGCAGCTCAAAATGAGCCTCTGCAGGTTGTAAATTGTCCTGTTGTGTATTGTCAGGCAAAACCCCATCCTTCAGCAGAGGGACCTACTACTGATGCCTTGTGTTAAGTTGTGGGTGAACATATCAGACGACACAGCGATTCTTCAAACAGCTCTTGTTTATTCACAGGCCAGAACAGAACAGAACTGAAGGGTTCAGCCAGCCTACTTATATAGAGCTCCACTAGAACGCAACAGTAACCATTTTCTGTAACTATCCAATCACTGAACGTCACTTTCAATCCCTTATTTGCATATGTGGACCTGAGTGAAAACTATCTACAATATCCCCCTGCTGGTCCTTCTGCTGCTCCTTGCTGCCATTGCCTGCTCATCTGATCTCTTTAAGAGAATGGGTCTTTTCTGTAGTAGCTCCTTATCTATGGAATGGTCTCCCCAGAGAGGCCCGCTTGGCACCAACTTTCATTTTGGCACCAGGAAAATAAGCTTTTGTTTTCCTAGGCATTTGAGCCAATTTTTGGTTGGTTTTTTTTTTTCCTCAACGTTCTTAATATGTTTATGCAATCTATTCCAACATTTTAATTTTTGTTCTAATCAATTTGGGGTGTTTTGTCCTGGGAAGCCATCCTTGAATTCAATTAACTAACTAAATGAGTAAGCCAACAGTGATAGCGAGCAAGGAGAAGCCCTTGCTTATTTCACCCTCTTTATTTTGGCAGCTGTAAGCAGAAGAGGGCAAGAGAAGGGAAAACAGAGGGGAAGGGGTAGTGGTTACAAAGAAGTGGGCCCATCTGGGTGGGGCTCACTAAGGGTATCTTGCCAAAGGACTCCCTGCCCCAATAGCTAGGGATGGCAGAAGAATCTGCACCCTGCTCAAGAGATTTGACTGCTGAAGAACCAGGAGGAGAAACCTTGAAAATAATAATAATAATAAATTTTATTTATACCCCGCCCTCCCCGGCCAGAGCCGGGCTCAGGGCAGCTAACAACAGTAAAAATACAGTAAAAACATAATGGGGGGGAACCAATTTAAAATACAGGTTAAAATGCTATTTAAAATGCAGCCTCATTTTAAAAGTAGCCCATAGATCAAAACCATAAGGGGAGAGAAACATAAGGGTCAGACTGAGTCCAAACCAAAGGCCAGGTGGAACAGCTCGGTCTTGCAGGCCCTGCAGAAAGATGTCAAGTCCTGCAGGGCCCTAGTCTCTTGTAACAGAGCGTTCCACCAAGTCGGGGCCAGTACTAAAAAGGCCCTGGCCCTAGTTGTGACCAATCTAACCACCTTGCGACCTGAGACCTCCAAAATGTTGTCATTTGTGGACCTTAAGGTCCTCCGTGGGGCATACCAGGACAACTCCAGCAGCATACATGCCACCGCCATTTCAAAGGGCATCCCTAAAAGGGTAAAATGGGAACATAATAACAACAACAACTGTAATTTACTTGGGACAGGTAACCAAGGAAAGGGAAGGCTCCTGGCAAATAGGGACAGTTAGAGTACATGGGAACACAGAAAGAATGTGACTTCTTGTCCTTCCTGGGACCTAACATTCTGCAGTAACCTAGGATGGGCAATGTAACCGAGGATGAGTGATAAAAGTGAGAGTGGAAAACATTAAGACAGAAGTGGGGAAAGGAAAAATCCAATAAGATGGCGGGGGTGGGAGTGGGGAGAGACAGCGCAAATTTGCACTGCATAGTTTCTGCTCAGATTCTGCTGCAATTTCACTGCTATTTTCTGTGTAAAGTAGTGGAAATGGGCTTTATAGGTAGGTAACACCACTGAAAATGGCAAGGAGGAAAATATGAAGATTGTAGGAAAGGAACAAAACCATAATTCCTAGGTATTAAAGCCCACTTCCCTTCAGCGTGCTGGATATACATACCAAGGGAGAACAAATACATCATTCAAAGGCATTTCAGAAAATGACAGCCAATTTCAACAGTCTGGGTAGTCATTTTGCTATTACCTTTTGAAACACCCTTATAGTTCTGGGCAGCCTGGTTTTAACTTCAGTTTCTGCAAAGCACATTTGCTATATTCAAGCAGTTATCCTGCAACTGTCAAAAGGCATTGGGGCTCTAACGGTTTTAAAGTGGTGCAAAGGAAACCTGAGTATCTTGTAGTGCATGTTCAAATCATGCTGTCTGAACTGCAGTTCATACACCTTGTGTGGTACTGTAGTCATGCATATACCAGTTCAGCCACAGGGTTTTTTTGTTTTTTGTTTTTAAAAAAATCAACCTAAAGCATGGGTAGGCAAACTAAGGCCCAGGGGCCGGATCCGGCCCAATCGCCTTCTAAATCTGGCCCGTGGATGCTCCAGGAATCAGCATGTTTTTACATGAGTAGAATGTGTCCTTTTATTTAAAATGCACCTCTGGGTTATTTGTGGGGCCTGCCTGGTGTTTTTACATGAGTAGAATGTGAGCTTTCATTTAAAATGCATCTCTGGGTTATTTGTGGGGCATAGGAATTCGTTCATTATTTTATTTCCCAAAGTATAGTCTGGTCCCCCACAAGGTCTGAGGGACAGTGGGCCGGCCCCCTGCTGAAAATGTTTACTGACCCCTGACCTAAAGGCTCACAAAAAAGAATGATATGCAGGACTGCATTTGACTCCAAGTCTTTTCTAAAATAAAGAGCTGTTATTGGAGCTATCCTCTCTACAGTTATACAGTCGGTAGAGAATGAGATAGTTAAATCCCAGGGCTGTGGGTTAGAGCAGTGTTTCCCAACCTTTTTTGGGCAAAGGCACACTTGTTTCATGAAAAAAATCTCGAGGCACACCACCATGCCAGATGGGGAAAGGTCACTTTTTACTTATGTAAAAAAATAATAAAAAATAGTAACAGCATAGAAGGTAATGGTAGATGACTGTTAGGGTCTCCCCCCAAATGCAGAATTCTATTAATATCTTCCTTAGCGAGCCGCATTAACCCCTGTAATGCTTTCTATAGAGTAAGCATAGGGGACACTGGGGGATGTGGAACCAAGGGGGCAGTGGGCCAAAAGAGTTCGGGATCTACTGCTTTAAACAGAAATTAGAGCCAGTGGGTTCTTCCTTTTTTAAAGTATCGTTTCAGCAGGGACAGCAGTCCGGATTTCCAAAAAGCGGCGCTTTTTTGCGTCTGAGCAAAGAAGAGAGAGAGGGGAAAAAAGAGAGAGAGATTGATTTGTGGCTGCGCAAAGGGGGGAGGAGCCCAGGAGTAAAAGTAGGAAGGACGAAGGGAGGGGAAAGGAAAGTTAATAGAAGGAAAGGCGGGTGGGAGAGAAAGAGAAAGAAAGAGGGAAGGAAGGGGGGAAGAGAAGTGGAAAGGAGGGAGACCGAGGTGGGGGAGAAGCGTCTGGAGAGTTGCTCCGAAGTTTGGGGGGCCGCGGGGGTGGGCGCGCGTCCCAGGAGGCGGAGGCCAGCCCGGGCTGGGAGCTGCGCCACAGCCCGGAGGCGGTAGGCGGACCGCGGCTCCTAGGATGTGGAAAGGGGACGGCGGCGCAAGGGGAGGAGACCCGCACGGCTAGGGCAGCGCGCAGGGGGAGGGGAGCGGGCCGGAGGCGGGCGAGGGGGGCCGCGATCCCGCGTGCCGCGAACATGGCCTCCTTCCCCGCGGGCCCCGCCGAGCCCCCCGGCCGGGGAGGGCGGCGCGCCCCCGCCGCCGGAGGAGAGCAGAGGCAGGAGGAGGAGGACGAAGGCGCTGCCAAGGAGGCACGCCAACTTCTGCCAACTTCGGCGCCCGCCCCGTCACCGCAGGCTCCTCCCGGCCGAGAGCCAGAGGACGGCGGCAGAGCAGGAGGAGGAGGATCGGGTTTGGCGACGGCTGCTGCGTCCTCTCCAAGCGTGGGGCTGGCCTCCGCCGCGCCCGATCCTCCACGCTCGCCGCGCTTCTCGGCGGAGCAGGTCTCGTGCGGGTGCGAGGCGCTGCTGCAGGCGGGCGACCCCGGCCGGCTGGGCCGCTTCCTGGGCTCGCTGCCGCCCGACACCGAGGCGCTGTGCCTGGAGGCGCAGGCGGGCGAGAGCCTGGCCAAGGCGCGCGCGCTGCTGGCCTTCCAGCGCGGCGACTTCGCCGAGCTCTACCGCCTGGTGCAGAGCCGGCGATGGGATGTGGGAGGGAGCTCGCTCGCCGCCCCGCGTGTGCCTATGTGGGGCACGTTACAGCCCCGTGACGTCAGCGCCACGCAGGCAGCCAGGCAGGCAGACGGCGAGAGCCCCGCGCTGGGCGGCCTCTCCTCGCCGCCGCCCCGCCTCTCGCCGCCCGACTCGCCCGCCTCCCTCCCACGGCACACCAGGCAACGTCTCGCGGCACACTAGTGTGCCGCGGAACACCGGTTGGGAAACACTGGGTTAGAGCCCCATGTTGGGCAAAAGATTCCAGCATTGCTGGGCATTAGGCTACATGTTCCTCACGGTCACTTCCAACTCTACAATTCTAATAAAGTACCTGCAGTTTATTAACAATGTTAATAAGCAAACTTCCCTGCAAAGTTTCTTACAGTGGTACCTCTGGTTACGAATGTAATTCGTTCTGGAGGTCCATTCTTAACCTTAAACCCTTCTTAACCTGAGGTACCACTTTAGCTAATGGGGCTTCCCGCTGCTGCCGTGCTGCCGGTGCACGATTTCTGTTCTCATCTTGGGGCAAAGTTCTTAACCCGAGGTACTACTTCCGGGTTAGCGGAGTCTGTAACCTGAAGCATCTGTAACCCGAGGTGTATGTAACCTGAGGTACCACTGTACTAGCCTTTTGGCCACGCTCTTGGGAGATGTGACTTTCTGATGATAAAAAAAAAAAGTTATTTGGCTCTACTGAATTTGTATGCAGGGGAGGTTGCGGATCTTAAAAAATGAAGAGCTTATTTTGCACTTGCTTACAGCAGCACAGGCATCCATAGCAAAACCTTTGAAAACTGTAGTTCGTAATCATATAAGGTATTGTTACTCAAGGCAGGTATGGTAAATAGTCCTTCTCTGGGGGGAAATCCCACAAATTAAAAGTATCCAGAGGACGAGTGGTATGATTTTATTTTTTGTTTCATTTGCAAACAAGGAGGCACGTGGTAGAAGAGTTCCCTTGATATACACTAAGGTCTGGGTCTTGCTAACACAACAAGAATCGAGACGCGAGTTTAAAAGCACAAGAAAATGATTTGTTTGAATGCGCCACTCATGGATTCCCAAGAGTGAATTTGGTTTTAGGTTTATCGTGTAAAGCTAGCAGGGTTACAGTGCGGCCTGTCTAGCTATGCACTGGTGGGTGTTGGACTACGGCAATTATTGAAAGTGAGGAAGAACGTGTGCAGATGTAGACTGAGCCAAGGGTGCATCAATGCATGTGCAATTTGTTTGAGCAATTGAGTGCATGGAACCTTATTTATGGATCTTGATTATTTATATATTGTGTTATTTGATCTTGTTGATTTCCCCCACAAACCATTTTTAAAAAGAAAAATGAAATCAGTACTGGAAGGCCAATGTATTCCTATCTTCAATGTATTTTGATCTTTGCTACTGCATCAGCCTAAAATAAGTAGTCGTTTCTGTGTGGGTTCTTCTCTACCTGTGCATTTTTCTTTTTTTTAAAAAAAGAACTTAAAACTCCCTGAATCAGCAAATCAGTACTGAAAGACGAACCCCTCCTTATCTTAATAGGTGGAATGGCAGCAACACAGCAGTTTGTTTTATAACGGCTTGTCTTTAAGTAGGGTGTCACAGAACCTCAACACATTAGTGATTCATTAAAAAAATAAAATAAAAATACAATCTTCTGATGGTGTCAGCAGGGGAAACTAAATAAGGAACAGTTATTACCTACTTATCTTAGTTACAGCATAAAAAATAAAGCTACTATTGTGTTACATGTAAGTTTACAACAGCACTTTTAAAAAGTATGTATTGGGGTTAGGAAACTAGTTATGGGTACCACACCAGATCTGTGTAGTGCAGCAGACTAGGCAGAGTGATGAGCGTCGGCGCTTGAATCCCAGGCTCAATCAAACTAACAAAGCTTTAGGCAAAACATCATTCATTCATTCATTTATTACATCATTTGTTTATATACCACTGAATTGTCTGTAAGTGGTGTGTGAGTAACTCAGTACAAAAACAAAACGATAAAATCAGAATCCAGTTTAAAATAAAAGTATTCAGGAGGTGCCAGAAGTTCAACTGACTTCAAATGGAAGGGAGTTCCATTTCTCAGCCTTGCCTACCTCGCAGGGCTGTGAGCGGGAAGGGACCTGGAGTTTGTTGCTATCTCTAGCCTGCCAAAGAGTATTCCCCAGCTGAAAAGCTAACAGCTACACAATGATGGCCATGGGCTGGTGAAACAGCTGCTGTAAGCCTAAGATCCCTCAACCCAGATTGCTGCACAGAAAAGTGCTGAAACGCCTTTTAGGGGACAGAGCCTTGGTGGACTGTGGGCCATGCACCCACTTCTCCCAGGAACATGAAGTTCAAGCAGCTGTATAAGTTTTCACCTCCTAAAATCAGCTAAACAGGTTAGTTACCTTGAACAGCTAATCCAGCCAGGTGCACTGCTTGCTCAAAAGTGCATGGGATGCTTCCTTCCAATATGTCTTTTTTCAATTGTAGATAATACTGGTATCTATTATGGAAAGAGAACATGCATTCAGGGCAATTTTCCGAAGCCTGTGAAAACAGAGGTTGATGGATTCCCATCATCCTTAGCTAGCATGGCCAAAGGTCAGGGATGACTATAGTTATAATTCAGCAACACCTGGAGGTGACCCAACCCTGTTTTATGCTTGCGCAATTATATTCTTTCCTGCTTGTCTGGGCAGCAGGGTGACACTATGATCACCCTCTGCAGACAACATTTCAGGTTTGGGTGCGTAACATGGAGTCTGGGCACAGGGGTCAGACTGGGGATTCTGACTTTGTGCTGCCAAACACACAACCTAGTCGCATTTCTAGCTACAGTTGGAGGTGGTCTGGAACTTGGGAGCATCCTGACTTGGGGGGGGCGGTCCACAGGGGGAATGCAGCATCCATGCTAAGGAGAAGAATAGAGGGACTACCCTGTATCACACATAAAATGTGACTCCCCCACCACCAGCACCCTCGATCAAAAGGAGCATACTTTATTTGCAGGAGGGGTTCACTTATGGGACAACATAAAACGTATCTACACCTGTGTCATAGTTAAGAACTCAAATAATAAAAATTTCTAAAGGTGGGGCAAGAGTGCATATTTTACCTTGTCCTTAATCCTAAATCCAATATCCTGGTTCGACCTAAGTAGTATTACTGAAGTTTTCTGTTTAGAGGAAAAGTTTTTAGAAGCTGGTGCCCCATGGATTTCATGGTGCGGCTACTGATGGGAAACTACACCTAGAGTGTAACACCGTGCACTAATATAATTTACCTGCCTGCTACACCTTTTCGGTTAATTAAAATGAAAGGCCTGTAGTGAACATGGGCAGACCGCAACCTCAACAACCTACCATATTTTTCGCTCTATAGGACACACCCAACCATAGGACGCACCTTGTTTTAGAGGGGGAGAACGAGAAATAAATATTCTCCCCCTCTCTGCTCAGCACCCCTTCAGCAAAGCGGCAGGAGAAACGGAGCCCCTTCCATTTCTCCTCCCGCTTGGCTGAAGGGGTGCTGCGCAGCTCTCCCTCTCTGCTGAAGCCAGGAGAGTCTTGCTCTCCCGGCGTCAGCAAAAGGAATCCAAAGCCTTCGGAGAGCAGCACGAGTTCCCACTGCGCTCCAAAGGCTTCAGGCGGCTATCCCTGAAGCCTGGAGAGCCAGAGGGGTTGGTGCGCACCGACCCCTCTCGCTCTCCAGGCTTCAGCGAAAGCAACGCGTAGCCTCCGGATCGCGGAGGGAGCGCTCCCTCTGTGCTTCGGAGGCTTCGCGTTGCTATCGCTGAAGCCAAGGAGCCTGCATTCACTCCATAGGACGCACACACATTTCTCCTTAATTTTTGGAGGGTGAAAAGTGCATCCTATAGAGTGAAAAATATGGTACATCATGCTCACTGTTCTGAAAAGAAGATATACACAGAAAACTACAGGCTGAAAAGTGCCAGGTAAAGACAGCTAAAAGATGCTCCCTCCTCATTGCAGAACATGGCAGGCATGCTTGCACCACTCACCTGGTAATCTCCTGTTGAAGCTGGGAGACAGAAGGCACATAAAACACCACACCGAAGAATACAGTCGGCTCCAAGGCATATTTGTCCAGTTGCTTTTTCAGAGGCTTGTCTAAGTCTATCCACCGGCGCTGGTTTTGCTTGTTGAAATACCAGAGGCTAAAATAAGTGATCTAGGAGAAAAGAGCAAAAGGAAGAGCTGAGTTACACTTTGCAGTTAATTTATTATTATTATTTATTAAAAGATTCCATCCCACCCTTCCTCGCAAAGGAGCCCAGGGGGGAAAGCAACAAAGCAGCGAAGCAATACAATTAAAATAAAATCAGTTTCTACAGTGGTGCTTCCCAAGCTTCTGTTGTTTGAGGAGCACATTATTATTATGATTATTATTAAGGATAACAAAATTAATGGCACATTTCATTCCAACACCAGACAAAAACAAGGCCAAAAAAGTCACCTCCCCTCTGGGGAACCAGCAGTAGAGCACATGTTGTGTACAGAAATCCTGAAGAGTTGCTGACAGTCAATATACCGTATTTTTCCATGTATAAGACGCACCTATGTATAAGACGACCCCTATTTTTTGAGCCCAAAATTAAGAAATAAATATTTTAAACATTCCGTTTATAAGATGACCCCCAATTTGAAATGTGGGGGGAAATATAGTCTTATACACGGAAAAATACAGTATATTGGTGGGGGAACTATTGAGTTGTTTTTGTTTTTATTTTGATTATGTATTTTGTGTTTTTATATTGTGATTTTATCCTGTGAACCACCCTAAAACCTGCGGGTATAGGGCAGTATACTACTACTACTACTAATAATAATAATAATAATAATACAATACTGAGCCAGAAGGGCTAGTGGTCTCATTTGGCTTATGAGGCAGCTTCCAGTGTTCCCACCTGCTCCATTTCTGCAAGAGTGACTGATCTGAGCATTCTCACGGAGCAGTGTGGCTCATCATACAAAGATGCATGGCAGCCCTACGGCATCTGAGAATGATCAAATTATATCAAATTGATTTGATTTGAACGCAATGATGTAGCAAGGTGGCCAGTCCCCAGTGACAGCTGATTGGAAGGAGGCCAGGCCAGAACAGTGGATCTGTATCTTCTTATTCTTTAGCGATCACTCGTAGCCGAGTAAGATTGTCTTCCATAAACATGGTTTTAACAATGACTCTGTAAGCGGCTGTGGAGGCCAATTCTGGATGCACACGTCCTTCCTCAGGAGGACATTGGTTTCCAGGTGTGGATTTGCCAAGCATGCCTTCCTCTTACCACATTTCTCCCTTGCATCCTGAGTTTGAGTGTCTTCAAAGCCCATGACACCCTCTCCTGTTGGTAGGGACTTTAGTTTCAAGGGATTCTTTTAATTAATGCATTAATTGCTTGTAGCACCCCAGCAATTCTCTCAAGGCATACTAGTGTGCCTTGGCATACAGTTTGGGAGTCACTGGAACTCGACCTTGCTTGAAGTTATGATAATGCTTCTTACACAAAGCTGCCATCACTGCAGGTGATCTCTATCTGCCCAGGTGCTAATGCATTTAGCTGGCTTGCTGGTTATAGCAACAAATGTGGGCTACCACTGCTAATCTTTCGGCTCTGTGCCATGATTTAAGCTGGCCACTGAGACATTTTGGTGTTTGAGCAACTGATGCTGAATTATCACCATCCTTGCACCAAAGGCCAGCTGTTCCGCCTGGCCTTTGGTTTGGACTCAGTCTGACCCTTATTTTTCCCTCCCCTTATGGTTTTGATCTATGGGCTACTTTTAAAATGAGGCTGCATTTTAAATTGCATTTTAACCTGTATTTTAAATTGGTTTTTTCCCCTATTATGTTTTTACTGTAATTTTACTGGTGTTAGGCGCTCTGAGCCCAGCTCTGGCCGGGGAGGGCGGGGTATAAATGAATTTTATTATTATTATTATAAAGACCAGCTGCTTCATATAGGTAATCACATGCAAAATGTACCCCCCCCAAAAAAAAAAATTCCAAATAGTAAATGGCGAGATGCAGCATGGGCTCCTGTCCCGTGATCCAGAAAAAATAGGAGTGCTCCTGAGTCACTGGGAATAGTGCCTTAGTTTGCAACTGTTGGAAATCCCATGAAAATGTCAGAGCTGCTTACTGTCCTATTAGATTGCATCCATTAATGTGAACATAAAATGTAAGAGCCAATGTTTTACTTTATAAGAAAATAAGCCCAATTTTTATTGGTTCAGGTTTTCTAGCTGAAATGGCAGTTCCCTGCCTGCCAGAGATTGCAATCTAAATGTAGACATGTGTGCATGGGAAGGGAGGGAGAGACAAGCAAAAGAAGAGATGAATGTGAATGTTATTGTGGTTCCTTTTCTAGAGACGTGCCATTCATATGCTATGGTTTGCTACGCTAATGCTAACAACAAACAACAACAACAGCGTATGCCACTGTTGTGCCAATACTGGATTGATAACAAGCTTGCCCTCCCCTTTCTAACTTGCACAAAACGTAACAATTGATGCTGCCACTATAAAATGGACACAATCTAAAGTACATACAGCAGAATCCTGTTTACCCCTTTGGCTTTACAGAGAAAAGGACACAAGGACCAAATTCAGACAACCAGAAAGTTCTAGTGTTTCAGTTCTACAGCTCCTGAGATGGGAAAAGCGATTCCCCATAGAATTGGGATAAAATTTGCTGTTTCCAGCTCACACGCACGGCTGCAAAGGTATATTTCAGTTTCGCAAGCTCTTGGTGGCATTCAGGCATCCTGGAGCACTGATGCTGAATGGGCTAAAAGCGAATCACTTTGTAATCACGGCTAAAGCTATCCATAGCACAAGAGATTACCTAGCCCTGCAAAAACGACATGACATAACTCTTGAAATATGTTAAGCTTCTGAGATTAACACTGTTGCAAGGTTTATTTATTTTAGCAACTTACTCATCATTCAACCTCCGGGCAGTAAATCAACCCTAGACAGAAAGGACCGTGGATTTTCTACAGTTATGTTCCAGCTAATTGCCCTCTTTGTTAGATGTACAAGAAATAGCAATATTGTTGAATGTGCATGGAACATCTGAAAAGGTGGGGAGGGAGGGTAGCACTCAACCCTGCGACTAATACAAAATATATGTGGGTAACAGAACACCAAATTAAGGAAATCTGAGCTGCAGGGGCAAAGAAAGATTTCCCTCAAAAGAACACAGGAATGGCAACAGTATTTATTTATTTTAACTAGGCAAGACTGACTTGGGTCAGTACTCCAAAGAGAACATTATAAAGTTCTGAATATTCGTCAAGCGAATACATTGTATATGGGACTTCCCCAGCTGATATAAGAGCAGAATAATTATCTCTGGTCTCTCTAGCCAACTGCCAGGACACACCAAAGGAACATGAACTTCACTTAATTTCAACGGGATTTAGGCAAGTGTTTACATCCTAACCAAGGGTGGCATTTAAGTAAGTTCCATTCAAAGTAGAGCCACTGACGTTATTGGACCTTGACATATCCATTGATTTCAATGGGCCTGCTCTGCTGAACACTGGAAACAACCCCCCCCCCATCTAGGATGGTCCATGCATCATGGGGTATCAAGGCTATGGAAGCTCACACTGTCTTGTATACCATGCCACAACCTCCAGCGCTTGTGATATGGATGCACCAGGGTATGTGTAATAGATGCGATAAATAAATTGATACGAGACCAACACAACATAACCATCTAAAGTGCATACACCAGTAAATGCTAAATTCAGATTTCAAAATTACCTAGGCACACCAATAGGTACCAAAACTATGAGCATATGACTCAAAACCATGAAATTTAGTATTCACATAGTCCAAGGCACTTTGATGAGAAGTAAAACGCAAAATTATTAGATCTCTCTTCCTTGAAACTGAGAACATGAATTGTTGCCGAATCCGGTGAAGACACTTTTATACTACCCAGACAGCTGAAAATCTTGTAGCAGATTACTTCGTAACAGTAATCCAAAACACCAGATGCCCAGGACTGATTGACTCAAGCCGTCTCAGATGCAGAGGGAGGCTTAGCAATGGCAGTCAAGGAAGAAGCCCCTCATAGCACCTACAAGCAGCTCTAAATTCAGCAGGCCAGATTAGTGATTATCTCTCAATAAAGTCATATGTCACCTTTGCAACTTTTTTGAAAACGTGGTCCCCATTCTGGCAGAAGAGATTTCCAATTATCCTGACTGTTCTGAGTGCAGTTTTCCACTTCTTTTGAACAAAAGTGCTATGTGAGAAACTGCTACCAGACAACTCTTGGATTTGGGGGAGGGGGGGGAATAGTGAAATACAGTGATGGATGCACGAAGGGACTGGTTTTGAAACTTTACCAACTTCTCTTAAAATCTGAGTCCAGATGGTCTCAGAATAATACAAGGAAAAGAGCTCAGCCTATGTTACAAGGTTGAACAAGATATGTGGAACAAACACCCCCTCCACTGTATCCCAGCGAGAGATGGGCAATTGTGGTTAAAATGAGTGCATAAATGGTGCTCAGCACCATGCAAGTTGCCTTATGCGATTCCCTCATCCCCACCAAGGTGCTGGAGGGACTGCCAGGTTTCCACTACTCATCTTCAAAGTGGGATTTGTCCAAAGTCCAATGATAGTTTTCAAGAAATTGGTGCGATAACAGATCACCACGCTATGCCTACTGCTTGGGTAGCTCTCCTAAATTTGTTTGAGGAAGAAGATATGGGTTTGTACTTTAAAGAGTTAATAATTCACCTGCCTGCAGAAGCACAGGTGACTACAGCCCAGTTTTAGAGGAATGCTAGGGTATGGTAAACAGCCTTTTTTGAGGGGAAATAACTTATAAGCTAAGGGTTTTATGAGGTCAAAGTGAGATTGTTTCCCCCCACAATTCGACATAAGTTTCTAACCTACAGTAGAAATACAGAACATAGACAATTTCTTCCATTCACCTTCAGAAGGAACTGGTTGATTTACGTGGTAGTATTCTTCATGGAAATGTTTCTTTGCTTATTTAAGTTATTTGCCCTACACAATTAAGTGATGACTGCATGTGGAACGCCCTCCCATCAGATGTCAAGGAAATAAACAACTATCTGACTTTTAGAAGACATCATCGAAGGCAGTCCTGTTTAGGGAAGTTTTTAATGTTTGATGTTTTATCGCAT